AGGTGCCCTTTATTGACTTCTACCTTAAGAAACTAGAAAAAGAAGAAAAAAATCAAGCCCAAAGTAAGCAGAATAAGGGTAATAGATAAAGATAGCAGAAATCAGTGAAATAGGAAACAGAAAACCATAGAGAAAAATCAATGAAATGAAAAACGGGTTATTTGAAGAGATTAGTAAAACTGATAAACCTCCAGTTAGATTGAGAAGAAAAGAGAGAAGATATGAGTTGACTAATGTCAGGCATGAAAAAGGGGACCTAACTCGACAGCTTATAGTGCTTACCCAAGAGATAACAATGTGTATGTAAATTAGGACCATTGCTATTTCCTAGACCAGTGATTCTCAAACTTAAGCATGCACCAGACTTGTCTTTAGGGTTTAAATCTGTTAAAACACAGATTGCTAGGCCCTGGGTTTCTGACTTAGGAGTTCCGGGGTGAGGTCTGAGAATTTGTATTTCTAACAATTTATTAAGTGATGCTCATGATGCTGACCTGGGGACTACACTTAGAGAGCCACTGTGTTAGATACAAAGACTCTAGGACACTTTGACTCTACTTACTTCTCTGTTGACTTCTGTGTTATATCTATTTAATTCCCCATAAGGCAATAGTATTCCTATTTATATAATAAATACTCCTTTATATTTACCTACATATTATCCTATTGTTCTTCATTTTTTTTTGCATCTTTGAGCTTCTATCTGGAATTATCTGCCTTTCTGCCTGAAGAACACCCTTCAGCATTTCCTTTAATGGATGTCTGCTAGGGATAAATTCACCCAATTTTTGTGTCTGAACCTATTTATTTTGCTTTTAACTTTGAAGGATATTTTTGGTGAATATGAAACTCTAGGTTCCTGTTACTCTCTTTTAGCCCATTGTCTTATGACTTTCATAATTTCTGTTGAGAAGATGGCTATTAATCTTACTCTTGTCCCTTTGAAGGTAATGTCTTTTCTTTCTGACTGCTTTTAAGATTTGTTCCTTGTCTTTGGTTTTCAGCTCTTTTATTATGATGTGCTCGTTATGCTTTTCTTTGTAGTTATCCTGATTAAGAATCATAGGACTTCTTGAATGTATGGCTTGAAGTCTTCATCAAGTTTGTATTATTGTCCCTTAACTTTCAACTATATTGTTGCCAAAGAATACAGTCTTTTCAAAGAATACTGATTCTTTGAGATGTTTTGATACTTGATTTATGGCTAAGTGGTAGAGTTTTGGAAATATTGCTTGTAAGCTTGAGAAGAATGCATATTCTGTAGTTGTCAGACATGTAATTTTAACTATGTTAATTATAGCGATTTTGCGATATATATTCTTTAAATATTCTTTATCTGTATTAATTTTTTTCTTCTAGACCATCAATAATTACTTGAGGTGTGCTAAAATATCCTATGATGATTTTGAGGCAATTTTATTATGTACATACAAGTTTAAAATTGTTAGAGTTACACAGTGAATTGAAAACTTTTATCATTATATAGTGACTTTCTCTATTCCCAGCAATGCTCTTTGTCTTATATTCTATTTTAACTAATATTAATGTAGTGATCTCTGCATTATTTTGGTATTTGTCTGGTATTTATTTTTAATCTTTATATTTTTAAACTTTCTGTATCTTTATATTTTAGATATGACTATTATAAACAGTATAACAATATTTTTCTTTTAACTTGTGCTTAATTCATTTACATTTACTCTTATTATTGTTATATTTAGACTTGTTTCTATCAATGTAAATTTTCCTGTTTCACTCTTGCTTCTGTCTTCCTCTTGCCTTTTTAAAATTAATTTAGTTTTTTAGTTAATTTTTTTAAACCAAATTTTCCCCCTCCACTAGTTAAAATAATACATTATTTTCTTTTAGTAATTAACACTGAAATTTTATCATACATATTAAATTTAAGGAAGTTTCAATTAAGTTAATATATTAAACGTGCTCCTGAAAAATACAAGGATTTTAGAACACTTTCCATCAGCTACTCACTTCTGACTTAGATGTTACTGGAGGCTAGAATTTTAGTTCTCGGCTCTATTTTCTTTCTTTTTTCTTTTTCAAAGATTTATTTATTTGAGAGAGAGAGCGCGGGGGGGAGGTGCAGAGGGAGAGAGAGAGAATCTCCAGCAGACTCCCGGCTGAGTGCGGAGCCCCAGGTGGGGCTTGATCCTATGACCCTGAGATCATGACCTGGGCTGAAATCAAGAGTCAGACGCTTAACTAACTGAGCTACCCAGGAGCCCATATGCTCTATTTTCTAAACATGGTAAATTAGTTCTCCTCCCCCCTCCCCCCTTTCTCCTCTTCCTCTTCTTGTCCTTTTCTTTCTCTTTTTCATACATATGATACCATTTTAAATTTATCCACATCTTAACCAGTTTATTCACTATTATTTCTGCATTTCAGACTTTCCCTTAGCAATAATTTTCTTTTTTACTGAAGCACATTCTTTAGAAGTTCCTATGGTGAAGATCTGTTGGTGGCAAAGTCTCGAGGTTTTTGCTCAACTAAAAATGTCTTCATATTCTTATTATTTCTGAAAAGATAGTTTTGATGAATATATAATTTTAAGTTGATAGTTAATTTCTCTCCACAATTTGAAGTTAATATTTCCTTTTCTTTTGCTTTCTGTTTTCACTGTGGCGGGTCTAAACATCATTCCTTTTCTCTCATGTTGCTTTTAAAATATTTTTTGTTTGTCTTTTGTAGCTTGTAATTTCACTGCAGTGTGTATCTTTGTGGATTTCTTTTTATTTATCATTTGTGTATCTCATCAGTTCTGGAAAGTTCTTGGTCATTTTCTCCTCAGATACTGCAGCTACTCCATTCTATCCCTATTCTCTTCTCTAGGACTCTGAGTGGATGTATATTAAAGTCTTTTATTTTATCCTCCACATCTTTCAATATCTATCTTAATGTTTATCATCTTTTTTTCTTTATACTGGATCCTGGTTATTTCTTTCAGATATATTGTCCAATTCACCAATTCTTCCTTTATTAACATCTAATCTGCAATCTAAACCATTCGTTAAGTTTTCTTTCTCAACAATAATATTTTTTATTTCCAAAAGTTTTTTGTTTTTATTTTTCAAATCTATGGAATAGTTTTGACAGTTTCTTAGCAGTTACTCATGTTTTGGATATCTTACTTAATCAGTTTATATATAGCAATTTTATATTCTGTATCTGACAATTCCAAAGTGTGACTTCCTTGGGGACTTGAATCGGTTTGTCATTACTGATGATTTGCAACAGTGGTGTCTTTTATGTGTATTTTCTGATCTTGGTTTTAAACTTGTATTTGCTTGCTCTGAATCTGTGGGGAATCTTGTGGAAATGCAGTGGGGATGGTATTCTCCAGGAAACATTTATTTTTGCTTTTGCCAGGAAACAGGGAGACTACGGACCTGCAACATTTTAGTTCTCTTTGAGAATATCAGCTTAATGTGGGGCTCTCAAGTTCAACTGTTGTAGTTGCTTCTAGCCCAAGACTTAATCCAGCTTTCACAGTTCTGATACTGGCTTTTGTCTTCAGGACAGTCTACCTTTCTCTTTCTACTGCAGCTTACCATCCTGCATTTTTAAAATTTATTTTTGGAGAGAGTATCCTGAAGATTTTTCCTCTTACAAATTCAGAAATGCAATACAGGATGGTTTATCCAGGATCTACTTTATTTATGGTCGGGAGACCTTTCAGAATACTTAGTTTTTTTATTGCCAGAAGCGGAAATCTGAGGCCTTTTTTGTTCAAGTGCCTCTTTAATAAGGTTTAAAATATTTACAACTAGTTCTTCAGCCGAGTTTGAAAAAGGTAATTCAGACAACAAAACCTATCTTACTCATCATGATCAAGCAGTGTTCCTTATAGCTCCAGTTTTATGATCTTCCCATTTACTTTATCTTGCATGTGGAATGTAAACTTGCCATGGAAGGCTAGATTTAGAATGTTCAAATGAGCAATTATCTTTTAACACCAACACAAGTCATGCATACAATTTGGCAGATTGAAGATTACATACAGAAGAGACTTGAAGTTTCTTGCAAAACAAATAGAGGAGTGAGAACATTACTGAGTGAAAGCCAATGAGCTCCATCTCTTTAAAAAGTTAAATAAAACTTTTTCTTTTTTTACAATTCAATGGCTTGACATTAATAAGGTCGGCAGTCTTTAAAAATTTATAAATATTTTCTCTTCAACTGTCATACATATCCAGAGTATTCACAGATTTTCCGTGAATGCAGCAGTGTGTAAATTTGCTTTCAAAGGGTTAAGGTTAACTGAGTAGAAGATTCACAGGCCTTTTTGATTCCTATACTTAAAAAATGGATAGTGTAAAGAGGAATACCACCAATACATCAACGGTAGTCTCATCCTAAACAATAATCTCTGTGAAATCATGAGCTTGATATACCAGTTATATTTTCCTACAATATACCATGTGTCCTTTGCCATAGGTGTGTCTCAGTTCAGAAAACACCATATTCAAGCAAGAGGAAGCTGTGGGTAACAAGAACAAAGCGAGCTCACTTTCTGAAATTGTACCACAGAGTCTTTACTGGGGGGCCTGGTTGGTCTGGAGTGGTTAAAGTTCTGTGTAAGACTCTGATTTGTAAGTGCTGTTTTTTTGACAAATAAACAAGTCTGGGCATGCAGAGGCTTGATCCCCATTTACATTTTAGTGTCTTTTTAGTTCTCAAGAAATGAAGTTCATGTTCACCCCCATCTCTGGGTCTTAGTTACTTCCCAGGACATTACAGAGGCAGGACCAACTGTTCTTTAAGGGTTCTCCTCGCACACTGGTCTCCTGTAATATGTGAGGCCTGGGGGATGCTGGCATTCATCACAGCCTCCTCTTACTACCACACTAAATACTGTAACATACCGAAAGAGAGAAGAGTTTCCTCCACTGTGAACCTCAACAGGCTCACAACAAGGACAGTTTTTTTTCCCCTCAAATATTGTTTAATCTACAGATTATTTCATGAAAAAATACCTTGATTCGAATGACTCAAGTCACTTTCTTCTGTTATTCCTTCTTGGAGAACATTCAGTTACCACCTTCATACAGCTATGATAGTCTTGGTGATTTCATTCATTTACCCTTAGGCTGAGGCCAATACCTGGAAAGATGGGGTAGAGAAATGGGAAATGGGAAGAAACTAACACTTTTGGTGACACTATTGGAGCCTCTAGATCAACCACTGCTTGAAACTTTACCTGGACTCTTCAGTTATATAAGGCAATGCATTATCTTCATTGTATAGACGTTCCTTGGTTTACGACAGTGTTACGTCCTGATAAACCCACTGAACGTTGGAAATATCATAACTTGAAAATGCATGTAATACACCTAACCTACCAAACATCCTAGCTTAGCCTAGCATACCTTAAACGTGCCCAGAACAGTTACACTTAGCCTACAGGGACATACCATTTGCTTAAAATGGAAGCACACCTGTTCTGGGTTCCTGGGTACTTAACTGTCTTCTCTGCGCTCAACTTCAGAGGGTCTAGCAGTGGGCAACCTTCTATGGCTGTTATCTAAGTTTCCTCCAGGAGTTAGTGGGAAGCTTGCAGAGTCTGGGATTTGCAGCTACACATATCTGCTGTTGAGCAGTGAACACACACTGTTTGTAAAGAACATTTATGGAGGGGAATTCATGAAGATGTGAGATTAGCAGGTATGTGGTTACTCAGCTGCTCAGTATATTCCAGGAGTGCACAGTGACCCTGCCCTTGAACTTCAGGATTTACAAGTAGGGTGACCACATGCCCCAGTTAGCCCAGAAGAGCCCCAGTTTATGGACCATAATTATTAATTACCCCCTCTGTTAGTTCCTGCTTATAAGCTGCATGGCTGGGGGAGCGCTAGCACATAGAGGTGCACGGATCAAAAGTAAGTTTGAGGAATAGGACAGCATAAGGATGGACTGAGTCAGCATTTGGAGAAACAGGGTAGAGGCTACAGCAATAATTTATCATCACATAAATAAGAGTGGGATTTATTGTGAGGCACAGTGAAAGGGATACGATGAGTGCACGGTTTTGACTTTTGAGATGAAAACAAAGACTGAAATAAATTAAACAAACTCGGTGACAACTTGCCAATGGCTAGCACTATTATAAATCAATAACAGCCTTCTGCTCCTCGGGCATTGAGTGATTAAATTCCTTTCTGCACCTTGCTCACTCATCACATCAACCTTTCCTTCTGAGCCCAAACGCGGCCTCAGTCTCCTTCTGTGTCAGCCACTGCCAACTGCTGAGGGCTGGCACATGAGATAACACCTGTTTGTGCTTGTCACTTCATTCTATCTGCTCCAAAATGTCAGAATGGGGACTATCACAGCCATGGGTGTTGCGAGAAAACAAATGTTCTCGAGTTTTATGAGCTGGAAAGCTTTGTGAGGAAACAAAAGGATTCACTCATTCGTTATTTTCAACAAATATTTGTTTCCATGGAAGAAAAAGAGTGAGATTCAACTCGAAGATGTTTGTTAACGGAAAAGTAACATCCAGCCTCACGGTGTGCAGAGGTACAGAACCCCAAGGTTCCCAAGATCGCAGGCAACCGCGGACTCACCTGTAAGAAAGCAATTGCAGTGCTCATCTCCTTCCACGGGGGGGCACTCCAAGCTCATCACTGAAAACGCCCGCTCGTGTTGTTTCAGGGAGCGGTTGGAGAACAAGCGCCGGGAATCTTTTCTCCATACCTAGGGATTATTAAGTGGGTAGCATTAAAAGTACACTGGCCGAGCTGTGTGAATGAGGCAAAGCCGTTTGAAGGTCGGTCCCTATGGTGTTGGCAACCTATTCTAAATGAATTCACAATTAAAAATGGAACAGAAATGTACTAAATTTCACTTAAGATGTTTTGGTCTCCGCTATACAATGATGAAATAATTATATAAAAGATGGAATAATTTGGGGGCAATATAATTCTCAGTTAAAGCTACAGTACGGCTTATCAGAAAAATGGACGCAGCTCTACCTCAAACGCTCATGCCTTCACCCGAATGGGCACTACAGAATCCAAATTCCATCTTGGATACACAGAATTTCAGCTGTAACTTAAGTCCCAACATGTATTCAATATTTCCATCCCTGTGTCTGGGACAGACATCTTTTAACATTTCCAAAGGCCCGATAGCTTTTCCCAATCAGCAGTGGATGAGGGACGCAGATACAAGTGGATGGGGGTGGCCCCTGTAATTCGTTTTTCACGTTCTGAAATGAAACCTTCAAAGGGGCCACGCTTACCTTTCCTAGTGAAAAGAAGGACTTTGAAGACCAAAGCCGGGAACGCCCGCGCCCAGGGCGCCCAGCGCGCCGGCCCCCTTACGCCGAGCTGAGGCGCGGCCGCCGCGAGCGCAGCGCCG